TTATATATACTTATATATATAAGCGTGCGTATCTATGTTTGCAGCTTATTATGTTAAGCCTAATCACAGGATCCATCCAACCAGCCGTCACGCCACCTCTCATTCACTTTGCTGCAGTCGAAGAGTGGTTTACCAAGCTTGTCGTTGACTCGATTATGAAACTTGCACAACCACATAGCTAAATCCTTTTGTGAATTTACATTTACGGGATTCACTTCGATACTGCGGGGTATACAAAATATTATATGGTCACCTTTTTGCACTTGCAGCGAGTCAAACAGTTTGCACTTACTCTGAGCGAAAATCTTTGGCACAATACTCGCATGGATATAAACGCGAGAGTACTTCGAAAAAGGTGCGCATATCTCGTTTTTCTGTGTCAGTGGGATTATCGGAATAAAAGGCAGCCATGGTATGCAGCAGGCCCCAAGTAGATATGCCAAGACGTACCTTATCCAAGGGGCAGTCTTCTCGGGGTGCGGCGACGCCGGCTGCATTTACAGTTAGCTTTTCGCTGGCGGCTATATGCTTTTCCTGTGGGATAGAGAGAGAGAGAGAGAGGGCGAGAGAGCAATTATGTGTATTTTTAAATCACGAGAAGAAAATTAAAACCAACAGCAATAAAAGGACATACCTTAGCTGCTTGCGTATTTGATATAAGGCGCTGCTGTTTGGACCATGACTTGAAATCGTTGCATGTGCGACAATTGCTATCCGGTTTTCCATTTCGATGCACGTTAAATTGCGCACCATCCACCTGAGGTTCTGGTTCCGCTGGCTTCTGCTGAAATGATGATTTTGACATCCTGAAATCGGGATCACGCAAAATTCGCAAAACAGTTTTTTGTAGACGGCGTATAATCAATCGGGCGCCCTCGCGATTAGGAGCTACCTTACTTTGATAGCTGTGACGTCGAATGAATACTTTCCACATGGGCAGTCAGCTGCTTACCGTTAACGCAAATCTGAGTCGTTCTTTGTACTCTGTAGATTTTTTTTAACAGCGATGTATTCAACGCCGATTTTTCTTATTCGATTAACGCAATATTGAGGCACTGTTAATGAACATCGCTGCAGGTCGTTGTTTTACTAGCTGCCAAAAGTCTGGCAGCGCTGCTAAATTGCCACAAATATCTTCGATTAGTGCACGTTAATTCAAAACGCAGGTTTTTCCTCTTTCGTGTGTTTTTTTTAAACTAAGACGATAATTCCAAACTACACAATATAATTTTTTGATACTTTTTCCATTTCTCTATATGTCGCTCAACGTGTGTGTGTGTGTATGTGTGGAAAATAAAACTACATTAAACGAAAAGCCGTGCGGCGAAACGTAATTTCGTGTCTATCTGTAGATTTACAGTAACAAAACTACATTTTCAATTGTCAAGGCACTTTTTATTTGTTGGTTTTAATACAATCAAAAATGTATATAAAATTCATTTAGTAACAACTACAGTTAACAAATGTGTTAGATGCACACACATACACACGTACACATACAAATATATTAAAATATAAATAGTTAGGTAAAGTTAAATTGCATCTACATGCACGCATTAATAATTTATGTATAACAAAAATGATTAGAAATTAAGAGAAAAAGTAGCAAAGATGTTGGCATTTAGGCAAATTCTTTGAATGTGCTAAACAAGCTATAAAGCACACGCAGCGTAGACTTTAAATCCATGTTGACAATATCTTCGGGCCTGGCCTTTGGCTTTGGTAGTCCCACATCCTGCATCAGATCGAAAGCAAATGCAACATTGCTAACCATTTGGTCAACATCCTGCGGGGTTAAATGAAATTCGTGGAGGGGCACAAAGAATCCGCCCAGGAGTCCCATCAACAAGCACAAATAAACGCCATCTCGAAAATCGGTGTTCAGATCGTTGATCTCAAAGTTGAGCTTGGCCAAGTGCTTGTTGACGAACGTAATTAGAGATTTCTTTACGACGGCCAACTTATCGGGTGCACAATCGATTAACGTATCGAATGCATCCTTTTCACAGCGCATACCCAAATCATCGTATTCCGAGGTGATTTGCTCCTGGAACTTCCTGTAAATCAAAACGAAAACGAAAATAACATCGATTATGGAGACACACGGGCAAATCTTTCACTCACTGTGCATTCAGAACACCGGCATTTTTCTCGGCTATGACCACGGTGACGAAAACGTTCTCTGGCAAACGCACAGGTGCACGAAAATGGCGCACTAAAGCAACCAACAGGTGCAATATGGCAACAATGTTCTTGGAGTGAACGCTAGCCACCGACCACTTGGGTATTTTCTGATGGAAGCCAAGGGTCTGAGAGCAATATACGTTATTTTTGTATTGGCCAAGTTAATTGTTTTTGTTGCGGCATTCACTCACATGATTAACGGCCTTAAGCACAATGTTTAGCTTCTCGTGTTGTCCCTGTTCCGATTGTGTTACCTCTGGTACATCCAATTTTTTTCCCGTTAGCTTTTCCCACAGCTTGTGCAGCACTTGGCCATCGTACATATCCTCATCCAGTTGCTGGACAATGATGCGTTGCTCCGCTAGCTCATCATTAATCCAATCGATGAGAATTCTTTGCAGCTTTAGCATTTCTGGATCATTGATCGATTGTGGATCAATCACGGCGCGTTGCTCATGCTCACCTAACGGTTCGGATAATACAAGGTATACAGACATATTCTATCGATGATTCATTCGATCACTTACGCAGCGCATAATCCTCGGGCGGTATATCAAATTGATTGGGCGAGCCAGGCGAATCGATTGCATATTTTCCTTCTTCTTGGAGCTTCTTAACTGTAAAAGACACAAATTGGAAGAGTATGTATGAGTGAGCATGCAATAGGAAAAATGTAAACAATAACTGGTGACGTCACCAGTGTGACAAGGCGAGCGACATCGTTAGAGATGAGCGCTTGCCATTTAAAATAAAAATTAATAAATTAATCTGCTAAGGGAAAAGCAAAATTTGTATTGATAATAATTTACCTACACTAAATAAAAATAATTTTCTGTTATAAATTTTTGGAGCGGCACGAGCAAAACTCTAGTTTGAGTGCCCTAACTCAAATGAACACACATACAGTCATATTCGAACATACACCTACAACTAACAACCGATCAGTCTGTTCGTTTGTATGCGTCACAAATGTAAATGACGCAATGTTTTTTTTTTTGTTTAGCACACAGACAGAGACTCAATGCACATCTGTTAGCAGTATACACAGCAATTTGCCGTTCCTTGGGTATATCATAGGACGAATGAATATATAGTTGTAAGCATCTATTGAACAAATTGCTTCAGTTTATGTTGTCACCATATTTGGCCGTATTCTGCAGATTTCACTGAGCTATTCCGTTTCGCTTGGGTGTAGGGGCTTGCCGAGGGGAATGGTGGGGGTTGATCTAGCTCACCTTCTCGTGTGCCGCGTTTGCGACCGAGTGTACTGAATTTTTCCCAGATGCTATCCTCCTTCTCGCCCTTCTTAATGGCTGTGGGCGTATGCGGAGATTTGGGGCGATTTAAAGTCGACATCTCTATGTGTGCGCACCGCAAACAAAATAAAAAACGAATAAAACAGAGCGAACGCCGTGCGATGGAACTGCAAGACACTCGATTGACTGGATTACCGATAGGCTTTCTATCTCTTTTTATTTGGTGTCATCGATATAATTAATCGATACTTATCAGTGAAATCTTTAAATGTTAAGGGCTCTTCAACGAATATAGAAAATTTATAGCTAAATGTAATTGATAAATTAAAGGATTATCGGCTGATGTTTATGTTACTTTTATTACGGATGTAAGGTAATGTTGTTAGTATTTTCATCCAAATAATAGCAATTACAATAAAAAGTTTAAGATTATTGGCGGCCCTGCAATCAATAGAGTTGTGATCCTAGCTGAATCTCAGTTGAACTGGTCGTTTAAATATACAGCGATTAATAATAAGCGGATTTATATTTAAAACAGTCATGTATTTGATTTTTATAACTCTCTTACATTACTATATAACTTATGATATACATTTCAGGGGGCTTATATATATATATAAATATATAGTGTAGGCTTTTTAAATAGAGTTGGGCAACTGGCAGGCGCGTACTGCTACCAGTTGGAGCAGCACAAAAATTGGTGAGAAGACTTCACTGTACTCAAGGCCTGTTTTGCCTGATAGCTTTAGACATAACAAATATTTAAAGATCGCGATAAGTACAAGGAAATATGTGCTCCACATGAACCGATGCAACGCCTTCCGTTTGTTATCTGAATCCAAATACATGCGTATGCCAACAATAACGCAAAAATAAGCATTGCAAATATCGATAAAGAATAATGGACTGAATATGCTGAACCAATCACACATTACCTCTGGTAAGACATTATTCAATGTACCAGAGATCTTGAAGGCTAGTGAGATGGTGAAGACAAGCAGCCCACACAGATTAACTAAAATCTCGAATTCCGTTAAGCCCAGCCAGCGCACCAGCTCCGACAGTTTAAACATGATTCTCTCTCTATTTCTGTTTCTTTTGTGGCTTCTTAATGTTAACCTCTGTGCAGCTCGTCTGTGCTGGCAGCTTGGGTACCACAATATCGAACAGACTGTTATTGAAGATTTTTATGTGCAATGCGGAATTGTTGCGTTGTCTGTAGGTTATGTCGTCCTCATCACAAAGTGGATGCAGTTCATCCACCAGCTTGATAGTGGATGTGTTTATTGCGTAGCTTAGAGCACCGTCCGAGTTATCGATAAGTCGCAATGCCAAATTAAGCCCACGTGTTATCGAATAACCCATGCAATGCAAATAGATTTCCTTAGTGCCCGCATTCAACAGATCCTCGCATCGTTTTTGTTGGGCCTATACACCAATTAAAGTGATTAATGGATTGTTTACAGCGAAATGTATTGCTTACCTTAAAGTCTGACTTGCTTGTAATGTAAATATTATTTCGCTTGTCGTTTGTTGCACGAGGCGGAAGTTTTCGTACAATGCGTTGGCTTTGTTGTTTGTTGCGATTGCTTTTTGGCTTTGCACCGCGTTCTGATGGATGACAGTCCATTATCAACAGCCACTACAAACCAATAATCAGTGGCCCATGCTTTGTGACCGTGCACAAAACATCTAACTATTAAGACTTCGCTTGTAGAAAATGCAAAATACGACTAGCAAAAATGATAACGATATGTGCATAATGCATCGCTGTAAGCTACAATTTACAAATTGCACGGTAGATGGCGTCAGATCAGGCAGACTGCTGGAGTTGCCAAATCATATGTGAGAGCAGCCGTAGTGCTGTTAAAATAACGGCAGATGGCGCTCTTAGTCATCTGGCAGCCCCGCTTTAGCTGTCAATTTTTTGACATTTACTCGATATTTGTATAACATTTATCGTACATTTCATATACTATCGTCGATTGGTTCGTGCTCGTAACACAGCTAGAATTATCCAGCAGTTGAAAAATTTTCATTGTACTTTCCGTAATAACAAAGGTATGTTTTTTTTTCTTTGCAACAAGCACAACAACAAAATCGTATCATCAGTACGCAACTAAAACAAATTGTAAAACAGTGACACAGAATATTGTATTTATGCAACAACACACACGCAAACAAATATTTGTCATAAGTTCACAAATACACACACATTCCTACTTACACATACACATTTTCAACGCCGCTGGCTGCAAAGGCTTGGGCAGCAGGCAAAGAAAAAATTACATAACTCCTAATTAATTTGTATTACACACAATTTGCTGAGTTTTCATCTTTTGGTATAAGAGTAAGATAATAATATAAGCTAAAAAAAAATGACAGTTGGAAGTTCTTTAGACGTTAGTTACATAAGTTCGGATTGTACGCTGAAACGCAATTTTCGATGCTGCCCCGTTAAGTATCTCGTATCTGTATTCTAACCACAAACGAATATATCTAAAAAAGTAAGAAAAATAAAAGTAAAGAAATGAGAAAATGAAGTAATTATTATAAACAATCTACTTGCACAGCGCATTTGATTCAAGTAACGTTTTGTATTCATGCGTTCAAGTTCATTTTTCCATGCAGGACAAACAAAAAACCGCTCCCAACCGATTTCAGTTAAACAGTTACAAACAGCAGCAAACCAAGCACAAAATAAAACTTATTAATCGCACGCGACCCAACGCACCAGATCGCGCGAACTTCGTTTCAAGCTCCAGCTGCAGCCAGGCAAGTGCAGCCAGAAAAAAGTGTGGCAATACTTTGCGGATATCTACAGCAAGAACAACAAACATCAAAACATCACGGCGAGAGCTGCAGCAACAACGGCAAACGTGGGATAAAGCATACAAGTAAATTTTACTATTCCTTATTAACAAACAATCAAGCAAAAATGAACAATCCAAACAAGTAAATTGCAATTGCATAAGGTTATGAATTTCGGTTCACATTATTCTAATTGCCTTAGATCTCAGAGTGACCATATATGTATGTCTTTTTCACCAGCTTCAAAACCTGATCCTGTGAGTGTGTGATTTTTGTGGTCCGCTTGCAGTTAATCAGACACGCATACAGTACCATGTTCTTTCATGTGCTCCTAGTGATAGCAGAAAATGAAAGCTTGCCGCGATTCTGTATGGCAACTCTGCCATCAGCGATATAGATTGCAAGTTGTGTGTGCGTGTTGCCATCGGAAATGCAATAGCACATGCATAATGCATGAGATAAAAACGAATAAGAATATGGTCACCCAGGCAAAAAGAAGCAGGCAAATTGTAAGAAATCCAAAGAAAGCAACATAAAAACGAATCAATCGAATCAAGACTATGTTTTTGAAATTGTTGGCGACAGAGCGAAAAGTCATCTCCATGACGAAAATCGTTTCAAGCATTATATTGTAAATAGGTATAACGACAAAACGGCAATTGTTTGAATTTAACGCGGCACAGTTTGAATTGCAGATCGTCAGACGTCGCTTTCGCCGAACGGAAATGTCTGCGGCACGTTTACCCTATTACCAACAGCAGCAGCAGTCCGGTGAGCATCAGCAGCGGCGTAGCGGGGGACAGCGTTGCGCTGGCTATCAGGATCGTAGTAGCAGTCGACGCAGCGAACGCCGCTATAGCCGCAGTCGTAGTCGCAGCCGGAGTCGCAGTCGCTCCTTGGAGCGCCAGCGTCGTCGTCATCATTATCAGTCGCAGCACCAGCATCGTCATCGTAGAGATTCACGTGATCGCCAGAAGGAATGGGACAGGGACTATTCGAGACGCAGTTATTATCAACGAGAGAGTCGCAGTCCTAGTCCAACGTCGTGTTCCTCCGTCTCCACTTCAACAGGGGCAGGAGCAGGAGCTGCATCAGCACGTCGTGCCCATGGTAATGGAGGCGATAAAATGAACGCCAAGGATAATACAATGTCCGCCGTGGGCGCCTATTACAATCTCGATACGGATGAGCCATTCGATAAGGAGCGTATACATCGTGAAATCGAAGCAAAACTACGCGAGACACTCGCACGCGAAGGCAAAGTGTATCCACCGCCGAAGCCAGAGGCATCGCATCCCGTGTTTGCCAACGATGGCTCCTTCATGGAGCTGTTCAAGAAGATGCAGGGTCAACAAGAAAARCAGCAGCAGCAGCAGCCAACAGCAGATGTAGCTGCGTCAGCTTCACCAGCCACTGCAGCCCCTTCAGCAGTAGCCGCAGCTAATGCCAAAGCAGGAGCTACTCTTCGCGATCAGCCACAGTCGCTGTTGGAGCCCAATTCAGTTATCAGTCCATTTGGTGCTCTGCCAGCGATTGCTGCAGGCGCTGCCAGTACTCCAGCTGCTCCATATATAGCCGCTGCAGCGACTGGCAAATCGGCGCCGCCGCCACCAATGGTTGGACGTCGACGTGGTGGCAAAATCTTAAAAACGGGCGTCGTTGCCAAATTGAAGACACCCAGCGAGAGAGATGTGGACCCGAAAGACTTTTGGTCATTGTATTTGGCTGAAGTAAACAAGTACAAGAGCAATGCCTGCGATACGGATAATGGCAAAAGACCGCTGGTCAAATAGTCTACGAAACACATTCACATACAACTACATCTACATAACCCCATACACACATATATATATATATATATGCAGGTGTACGCACAACAAACGAAAATATGAACTTGAACGCAGGCAAAAACTAATCACAAAATGCAATAAGCACAACCAACATAATTAATTGGTTGCCAAAAATACAATCAGCTATATATGTATGTATAGCTCTATATATGGTTAAGAGTTTGATACGAATAGGCAAGCACATCTCCTTTGCTATATATACTAACTGACTTTGTATGCAACTTGCAACACATCTAAATGATGGGGATAATCGGAAAAGAAACATAATTAGTAGATAAGAAATACAGTATAATCTGATATATATATATCTGATATA